GTAGGGCATTTGCCTTGCACGTGGCCGACCTGGTCAGCCCAGGTTCGATTCCACCGCCCCTCTCGGAGAGCCCGGCAAGCTACCGAGAGTATTTCGCCCGCACAGCAAAGCCTGGCAAGCTACCCGTGACGTATTCGATATGCCAAACACAGTAACAACAAGTCTCACAATGGAGACATTACTGGGCCCTCTCGAGCAAATCGATGAACAACGGGAGGACAGTGCTACCTCTAGCCCTGCCATTTGATAAAAAAAGAAAATAATGACAAGGGCTAGGACTGGCTGTGATAAAACAAGAGACTTGGAGTTTCCGGTTAGATCTTGGGGAGCAAAGCAAGAGATACCGTCCCCACATACGCACACCCACACAGACCTACACACGAGTCACACAGATCTGTCCCCCGGTCAGTATCCTCTGCCATATGTGGATAAATAGGTATGTCAAAGAGGGCCTCAGAATAAGCTGACTCAAGTACAAAAGCCTGAATCAATCAGAGATGGCTCCCCACACTCAATCAGCCATGAGACAAAGTTAAAAAGCAAGCTCCATTCTACCCACTCTTGACAAAATTTGAATGGGGTTTTCCAGCTTCAGGACTGGATGTCACTCCTCCATAGGAAAAAAATGAGATGACCATCAGGAACATTATTTCACACCCATTTCTGATGGGTTGGAGTGATAGCATAGCGGTAGGGCGTTTGCCTTGCATGCAGCCAGCCCGGCCGACCCAAGTTTGATTCCTCCGCCTCTCTCGGAGAGCCTGGCAAGCTATTGAGAGTATCTCATCTGCACAGCAAAGCCTGGCAAGCTACCCATGACATATTTGATATGTCAAACACAGTAACAACAAGTCTCACAATGAAGACATTACTGGTGCGCACTCAAGCAAATCGATGAACAACGGGAGGACAGTGGAGTGCTACATTTCTGATGGGCAGCTACGACTTCTACTGGTCCCACGACTTTACAATCTTGTCATCTCAGTGGAAGGTTATGCTCTGGGTGAGGCTTCCCACTCTGAATCTGGCTACACTGTCTGGCTCCTGGAGGCATGGACATGGCATCAGACAGTGATCAGGTCAGCACAAAGGAGGCAACTCTTAGTTCAAAACACAGGAGCCAAATAGAACTTCCACTGGACCCAGGACCCCACTTCTTGGCATCCACCCCCCACCCCGCAAAGCACCAGAACATCCAAAAAGATGCACACCTGTGTCCGCTGCAATGCCCAGTACAATACCCAGAAACAGAAAACAAACAACCCAAACATCAACACAGATCAACAGACAGAGAAGCCGAGTCTCTAACATGAAATCATGCAGTTTGCTGCAACTGGGGTGGAACTGGAGGGCATCGTGTGAAATAAATCAGAAGGAAAAATGCTCTTACTCATCTGTGCTAGAGAGAGAAATAAAATAAAGGAATAGATAGTTCTGAATGACAATAACTCTTGGCTTATAAGAGTTAAATAAGCCGAATCAGGGGGCAGAGGGCAGGGGGAGAGGATACAGTGGACCAGAATATTAGAAAATCAGTGGAAGGTCTTCAGCACTTTGCCAGTGACAAAGAGTAAAGATCATAAAGGCTGGGGCCACAGCAATAGTAAAGCAGGCAGGGCACTTGCCTTGCATGTGACTGACCCTTATCAATCCCCGGAGCCCCACAGGGTCTCCCAAGACTGCCAAAACTGATCCCGGAGTGTAGAGCCAAGAATAACCCTTGAGTACTGTACAGTATAGCAAACACACACACAATAATCGTAAATGCTAATACTGTTGTAAACATGTACCTGAACTATATCTTAACTTTAGTAAATAAAAACCAATAAATAATATGAGATTAATACCCAAGAATAGCTGAAATCAGCACCAGGAGGATTACTCCATAACTTAGAGGCCAGCCGGGTATCCTAGAGGAAAGGGCAGTTCAGATAGAGAAGGGAGCACCAAATAAAGGATGTTTGGAGGATCCTCCCAGGAGGGGAGATGCATGTCGAAAGTAGACTATGGACTGAACATGTTTGCCACTCAATGCCTCTTTTGCAGACCACAACACCCAAAAGGAGAGAGAGAACACAGGGGATTGCCCTGCCACAGAGGCAGGGGGGATGGGGGGATGGGGGTGGGGGATATTATCCATGGTGGTGGAAAATGGGCACTGGTGGAGGGATGGGTATCTGATCATTGTATAATCGAAACCCAAGCACAAAAAATTGTAAATCTACAACTGTACCTCATGGTGTTTCACTAATAAAAAAAAAAAAACAAGAAATAGACATAGAACACTAACAGAAAGTATACATCCTCCTTTTAAAAAATTTTTGGTCTATTATCTCCATTTCAAGTGACAAAATATTTGGGGATTTTTTTCCCCCTTTTATTTATTTATTTGTTTATTTATTTACTTTTCTTGGTCACACCCAACGATGCACAGGGATTATTCCTGGCTCTGCACTCAGGCTCTGCTCTCCTGACAGTGTTCAGGGGACCATATGGGATGCTGGGACTCGAACCCGGGTCGGCCGCGTGCAAGGCAAACGCCCTACCTGTTGTGCTACGGCTCCAGCCCTGACGAAATGTTTTTAATGAAGCCCCAGCCTAACCTGGTGAGGGCTTCTGCTATCATTACATCTCATTTACTTATATCCGAGCTGGGCCTCCTGAGAAGCCCATCCTGTGTCCGTCCCCGTCCCCTGCCTGTTCCTGTCCCATGGACCAGGAAGCAGCGCCCCACCAACATGTCTCCAGAGATGAGGTTCGGGAGGTATCATGCAGCGACCATCCCTGCTCTGCGTGGCGTGTAAACAGCGAGAGGAAGGGGAGAAGAACAGAGCTGGAAAACAGGAAGCCCCGCCGGGCAGCGGCTGGCACGGTCCCGGCACCCTTCCTCAGGAAGGACAGTGAGACAGAGAGGCCGGTGCACAAACAGGCCTGGCCCTGGCCCTCACCCAGAGGGCCCACCAGGCTCGGGATCAGGCCCAGCACCGCCCTGTGGACATTCCTTCCACTTCCTCCATCGCAGCCCCACCAGGTCTCCTGGGGTGCAGGGAAAGGGCTGGCTCCAAGCCAGCTCCACCCTCCTTCCGGCCCCACCTGCAAGAAGGCAGGATTGGAGGGGCGCATTTGCAGACATGAGGCACACAAGCTTCTCCTAACATGCAAGAGATCTGCTGGCTCAGAGTGAGTCATCGCCCACCGGAGCCTGGACACTATCTGATTAGTCCTGATGACTCAGTAGCCGTCCACAAGACTCGGTAATTGTCATAATCATTGTCCTCCTGATCAGCCTGCTCGCTGGCCGAGAGGGGAGAGGAAGCGGTCATATCACCCACCACCGCTGCCTCGAGTCTCCCAAACCGCTCCTGCCCAGAACTCCCTTCAAAGAGGATGCGGGGCGCAGAAGACAAGGAGTGGAGCGAAATCTGCTGCACAGGTGTTCACACCCCACTTGCGGGCACACCCACACACACTGGATTTGAATGGACCCCCACCCCAAAAAAGCTGGGTTTGCCAGTTGCATTCCCGTGCTTCCGTGGAGCCGGCCACAAGGCAGAAATGAAACTGGGAGCCGGGGGGCAACCAACAGAGAGGAAAAGCTCTGAAGGCCAAGGGAGGGCCTGGAGGAAATCTGTGCCCTGACGGCAGTGCCAACCTCATTACCCGTTCACTGCTCTGTTAATCCGTTTGTTCCGTGTTAGAAGCCCCAGGCATTGCTGGCAGGGTGATGAACCAAACAGACCCAATCCCCTGTCCTTGGGGGTGGGGGGGGATTTCACTGATGTAAACAGTAACAAAGAAGCCAGTGAGGAGCAGGCGAGGAGCACGCTGGCTCGGAGAAGCAGCAAACACAGTCCATACACGGGTCAAAGGGATAGTAACGGAGGCGGGCATGGTACTCGCCTTGCACGAAACAAATGAAATAAAACCACTTGCAGAGGGGGTGAGAGGGCACAGGATTTCTTCTCCCTGGAAATCCAGAAGCCCTGATGGGGTTGCTAGAGGCATCCCTGCAGATAGGGACTGGTTCTGTGCCGCTGGACAGCCCAGCTCGCAGCCCAGAGGAGGGGGAAGGACTCCGGGCAGCCGTTCTTGCCAGGAATAGAAGCCATGCATCTGGCGCGCTGCGGCCTGGGAGCCCAGCTCAGGGGTCAGGCTGGGAAACCCAGGGGCGTAGCCTGGATCCTGGGGACCTGCCAAAGCAGCCCGGGCCACTGTGAGACTAGAAAGAGGTCTACTAACCAAGCGAATATTGTTCGGCTCAAGTCTCTAACCCCAGACGCCCTCACTTCTCAGTTTCCTGGGGTTCACCCCACATCAGCTCCCCAGCTGCACACTTTTTTTTTTACACGAAGACACTGTCTCTTACATGCATCTTCTCCTTCTGTCCCCTGCACTCGCAGAGTCTAGCCCAATGGTGCACACAGGCCTGTGGTGGCACAGATGCTTTGCAGACACACCCACGGGGAGTCCCTGGCCCACACAGCAGGCACCGGAAGTCTTGGGCTCTTTCCTTCCGGTTCTTGCTGGGAAGGGGACAGAAGTGGCACTCTGCATCCCATAAGAAGCCATCAGAGGTGACAGGCTCAGTACGCGGAGCCCCATTCTCCACACAGTCCCAGCCGGGCCAAGGTTCTCCTTGCCTGGTGCCCCGATTCCTCAGCTGCCTCTGGGGGCTCCCGGGACACAGAGCGGAGGTGTCAGGAGAAGCCAATGGCTTAAGTGCTCCCAGCCCAGCTGAGAGGAGGCGCAGGAAGGAGCCAGACAGGCTGTGGTTAGGAGGGGAGGCGGGAGCAGCAGCCCAGCTGCCGGGGGAGGCACCAGGCGGCCCCCATGCACAGACCACCCCCTCCCTTCTGTGCAGTGTCGGAGCAGAAACTGAGGCAGCTGTGGGGACAGGGAAACATGAGGCCCATTTCCCACACAGCTGAGCCCAGGCGCATGCCCCGATGCAGAGGGAGAAGGTCGCCCAGGCAGGGGACCTTGCCGGGGGGGACGCTTACCTGCCGTGCCACCCTTCGTGCCTCCCAGTAGGGCTTCGAGTCCTCCACGGCCTTGCCGATTTTCTTCACCAGTTCATCCAGCTTCAATGTGGCCTCCACCAGCACGGAGCGGAACTTCTGCCGTGCATCCTGCAGTGGGGAAACAGAGGAAGCAAGTGCTCAGGCTCCGGGGAAAGCTACCCCCAGCCCACCTCGGCCACCCAGGGCCACCCAGCAGGGCCTCCGCCCAGCCCGCCAGCTCCGGCCAGAAAACCTCACAGGACGGGTCTCGGGCGGCAGCACCACCAGTGGAACTTTCTGTGATACTCAGGGGTTCTCCTAACTGCTCCATCTGGCACAATGGCCAGGAACCACACAAGGCCACAAGGCACCTGCCACTGGCTGGTGTGATAGTGGAATACATTTCTAAGACACTCGACTTTAAGGAAATATGTGAAAGTGGTATGCGTCTAAAGGCAGGAGCTAACACAGGTGTTAAGGTTCATGCCTTGCATGCAACAGACACTGGTTGAATTCCCAGGGCCACAGTATCCTTTCTGCATTGCTAGGGACAGCCTTGGAGACCCCCAAGCACTGTTTTCAGTCAGTGGCTAGTGATTCAAAGTCTCTGCCTTGGAGGGCCATGTCCACGCCCCCCCCCCCACCTCCACAGCTTCAGTTCAGCATGACGCAGCCCTTCCCTCCAAAGCCCAGGAAGGACCTCGCCAAGGACCCTATCCACGCAGAGTGCCCATTTCCGGTTGGAGACCCTGGGCTGAGCTACAGCGTCTTGTTCCCAAGAGGCAGGCCCCGGGAGCCCATTCCTGAAAGTCAGGGTCAGATATGAAGAATCCGGTGGTCACAGCGCCCAGCAGTGGGGCAGCAACCCAGGAGGCAGGGGCTCATGAAGAGACCTGCCCCGCCCTCCCTCCCCCAAACAATTCCAAAGGGATCTGAACCCACCTGAGACTGGATGTGGCAGGTGCTGGGGGGATGGGAGTGACAGAGCCATGCTCGGCTGGGAGGGAAGTGCAGCCTGTCTACAAGATATGCATGGAAAGGACACAGCTACGTGGGAACAGTCACTAGTATCCTGGGTCTTGCTAAGAATTTGGGGGGGAGAACAAGGAATCGACTTGAGCCCGACCAGCTTAACCAGCAGAGTGAAATCAAGAAACCACACTCAGGACTGAAGCCACAGTACAGTGGGTAGAGCGGTTGGTGCTTGCCTTGCATGCAGCTGACCTGGGTTTGATCCCCAGCATCCCACCAGGAGTGATCCTTGAGCTCAGAAGGAAGACCCGAGCACCACTTGAAGTGGCCCAAACTCCAAAAGTAAGAAACGAGATACCTTGAGGCCTTGGGAAAACAATTTCAAAGAACCAAAGACCTAGAAAGTCAGACCAGAGAGCCAGCCGGGCATCAGTGCCCTCTCCTTTCCCTTCCAGCACTTTGCCGACGCTGCCAACTCTGCAGGCGTGCATGTGCGTGGTGGTCATGCACGCCTGTCTCAGAAACGGGAAGTATACTCAGAAGTAGGAACAACTCACACGCCCAGCCACAGGGCTTCCCCTGAGACCAAATGGCCCCCCATTGGGAAAACCCAGAGGGCCTGCCTCAGGGAGACTGCCTGTGAGATGGTCTAAACACCAAACGGAAGGGTCTCTGGGGCCAACGGGCACCGGGTGGGGTGAAGAAGGCTGTGGGCTCATCTCAAGCCTTGGCTCTGCACACTGGGGTTGTTGGCAAGGCAAGCCAGTCCTCCAGGGGCCAGAGAGATAGGACAGTGGGTAGGACACTTGCCTTGTATGTGGCTGGCCCAGGTTCAATCCCCTTATATGGTCCCCTGAGCACTGCCAGGAATGATTCCCAAGTAGAGAGCCAGGAGTAACCCCTGAGCATCACCAGGTGTGCCCCCCCCCAAACAAACCAACAAAAGACAATACCAGCATTCCAGCCCACAGGACGGGGTCTGTGCCTTCCACTGGGGTCTCTCCACTCCTGAACGCTACTCCATTCTGACACCAACCCCTCCCCCAGTCCCGAATCACTACCATCTCTGCTCTCTCGCCTATGAGCTCACGTCACAGTCGCCTGCTTCAGCTTATGATGAGCAACAAGACTGAGCTTGCTTTCTGGAGCAAGTGCCACAGATGCACAGGCCCACAGGGACCAGCACTGCCCCTCTGAGCTTCTCTCCCACGTGACTTCAGTGAATGTGTATGTGGAAGGGGGGGTGGAGGGGGGGGCGCGGTGCATGTTGCCTAAAGCTGGAAATTGAAAACAGAGAGAGAGAGAAAAAAAAAAGGGATCCTGGCTAAAGCTCTTTTACATAAGCCCATGTCAAATTAACTCTCCAAGAATCACTTTTATTATCTATCATTACTTTGCATCTCACAAAGAGAGGGCAGGATGGAGAATGCAAAATAGAAAACATCTCCCAGGTCTTGGGGTGCTAGCAGGGAGGTGGAGTTAATAGAGATCCCGCAATCCTGCAACTAAACTCCTCAGCTGGAGGGGCTTGACATGATGGATGGAGGACCCACAGCACTGTGTGACTGGTGTTTCGTACATGCACTCACATGCGTGACCAGTTCCTTGACGTCATAGGCCTGGTGGTGGGGCAACCCTGGTGTTTCCCACATCCAGACCACAAGAAAGGTGGAACCAGAAAGACAGTACGGGGACAGGGCAATTTCCTTCCATGTGGCCAACCCTGGTACCCCATAATGGGCACCCAGCCCTGCCAGGAGTGGTCCCTGAGCACAGAGTCAGGAGTAAACCCTGGGAAATACCCGGTGTAACACCCCTCCCACCCCCTGAATAAAAACAAAAAGAAAAAGGACTCAGAGGGCCAGATGGTCAACATGTGACCCACAGAGGTCAAAGCGAGAAATGGGGCCTCAAGCCAGTAGCCAACAAGGTTTACCAGTTCCTTTGGCTTATGTGTTGCTTTCATTTATCAAGAAAATCCTCTTTTAGGTTTTTCTCTGCACCCAAATAATTTCCTCTCCCCCTCCCCCTCCCCTTCTTCTTCTCCCTCTTCCCCACCAGCCCCTGGTGATTCCAGCATGACCAGATCTGCTCTGGGCACTGGTGTCAAGAACCCACTGGCCCCACCTTGAGGGAGAACAAGAGGAAGGACTCAGAGAACACTGGCGACCAGCCACCTGTACAAGGCATTGGAAACGCTCTCATTCAGCAGCTGGCATGGCCACCCGCATGCACGTTAAGTCAGCGCCAGGGCTGCCATCAGAGTTTTACAAACGAAGGCCCAACAGGTCATCTGCCTGAGATCACAGCACCGGGAAACAGCAGAGGCAAGACTCAACTCCAGCAGAAAGGGCAATGGCGTGTGATCAGTGCGAAGACACACACACACACACAGAAAGGCCACCAGAGAGAGTGACCCAAACAGGGTCAGGCTATCAGGCTGAGAACCAGTCAGGGCGCCATGGCTGTGAGGGTGGGGGCGGGAGCTAGGGCACAGGCACTCGAACTTGGCCCTCCCAGGGGAAGACATGGTGGAGTTTGTCCAAGATAAATCTCAACTCTCTTCCCATGCCCCCTTCTGCAGAAATGACGACCTCATGTTCTCCCACTGGTGAGCAGCCCTTCCATGGCCAGGCTAACAAAAACACTGAATTCCCACCACAACATAATTCTGCTGAAAATAAGGGACTGAAGGGTTGGGAGAGAGGGTGGAAGGAGACTCACAACACATCTTCTCGATGGGATGCTGGGAAGTCAGGAAATAGGGAAGATGGTTCAGAGGCCAGAGGAGTATGACCTATGTGCACAAGGACTCAAGTTTGGTCCTCAGCACCATGTGACTCACCGATGTGGCCTGGGTGGCCCTGGTGACCCCCGGCACCACCAAGTCGGAACATCGCCTCACCACTGGGTCTGAGCATCAGATAATGCCACTGAAATGGCCAAGCACCATCTGGTGTGATCTCCAAGGACCCCTTGAGCACTGCTTGAGCTCAGCCCCCCCAAAAAACAGAAAGCAGTCACACAAACCTATCTTATCTTTTTAATGGGCTGGAGTGATAGTACAGCAGGTGGGGCACTTGCCTTGAATGTGCCTGAGCTGGGTTTGATCCCTAGCATCTCATATGGTCCCCCAGGAAGGAATAATTCCTGAGTGTAGAGGTAGGAGTAAGCCCTAAGCACTGCTGAATGTGGCCCGAAAACAAAGCACAACAACCAAAAACTCTCCAGAGCAACAGAAACCAAAGCAGACAATCAGTCGTGGTTTCAGATGCCTGTTCTGACCTAAAATACAATCAAGGAACTTTTTTAAAAAATTACTTATAACATTTTTAAACTTCACAGTAGTGTTTTAATCATATGACATTCAAACGACTAATTCAGGGGCTGGAGAAACTGCACAGGGGTTAGGGCGTTCTTTGCATATGGCTGACTCCAGTTCAATCACTGGTGTTGTAACACTGTCCTCTGAGCACCATCAGGAATGAACCCTGAGCACAGAGCCAGGAGCAACCCCTAAGCATTGCCCCCTAACCAAAATATGTATCTTTTCAAATAGTTATATAATTTACAATGTCTTTGTAAACATTTATACAATTTGGAAGCACAAAAATAAATAGCGAATCAGCTAAGATATATTAAAGGGATGCACGAACAGAAAATGTATGAGATGTGAGGATGCGATACAAGAGACAACACGACGGCAGGATTTTTTTCCTTCTACTTTTCACTTGTGGGAAAATATTTCAGTGGGTTTTTAAGTAGGTGGGACCAGATGCAAACTGGGATTTACCAAAGAGTGAACAGGCCAGCCCAGCAATTCGGATAAACAGATTTGGCGACCAAGGGCCTGTGACCACCAAGGGATATTAAATTTAAGAGAACTGAGTTGGTGTCAGCATCTTTAGAAGTGGGCCATTTCCAGAGATAATGATGTGTGCCTGGCCAATACTCATCACGCCTATTCACCCTGAACAAACTGCAGAGAGCAAAACCAGTCTTCTCTCTGAGGAGAGAAGGAGGGCCCAGCTTTTTCACTCTCCCACAGGGGATCAAAGCTACGTGAGGAATAACTTCCCACAAGTACTGGGTGTGAGAAACCAAAATCTTTCCTCCATGTCTAATATAAGAGCTGCCCCTGATTTTCTTGGCTTTCA